ATATTAACAAAAAAAGTAATAATAAATATGATAAATCTAAAATTAACAGTAAAATCACATATGCTCCAAACGCGTTATGATAATATAACAACAAGACATATCGTATGAAAATAAATATAATATTTTTAAAAAATATAACGAAAGATACCTTGAACGGTTCGGCGTTCGAGTGGTTATGCCCACGTGACCGTGTTCACACGTACGACGAACGCCACAACCGACAGAAGAATCGATTGATCAGCGGCGTCGGTCTCGATTTACAATAACTGGCATCTCAGCGTACGACGATAACCGAAAGAAAATTTCGCGGACACGGGTCAGCTACGGTTCGAACAGTCGTCATACACACGAAGTTGTCCCCGGAGATGGCATCTCTACCGCACTATGCCGTGACCACAAGAACACACGGCCCGTGGCACGGGAAAAACGACGAGTCGGACGTTCGCAGAGAAAGGGTCGGCGGAAAAAATTCCCGGCTGTAATGGCGTCCACGGACCGGTGATAATCGTACCGCGATAACGCGCCAATCGAAAATTCTTGAGCATCACACGCCGACACCGTTGTCGGGTGCTCCGGTTAACACGAAATGAGATAATTTGAACGGTGACGTGACACTTGCGCGAACGATCTCATTTCCTAATTCGAATTATTGTACAAATCGCGCAACACAAATTTATCCGTAACGTCCAACGCACTTGTGTGGGAACAGAGAAAACGAAATACGTTTAAACGTTCATGCGTCGTGCAAGGAGGTTATGATGTGTGTATAAGATATAACCGAAAGTGTATGTTCTGTACGGACCATGGTATACATTTAAGTTCTGGTTGTGTTGGGAATACGCGGCCAGCGCTCTTGGAAATTTCCACTTTACGACACGGTGTTATAGGGATTTCCACTTTACCGCCCGTCATTATAGGATTCCTATTTTACCGCCCGCTGGACGAATAAATGTGACATTCCAACACTTCGACCGTGGTCGAACACCAAACTTTCGGTACAGAAAATGTTACACCAGAGAGTCATGTTTTAATTTCGATTACCGTTTACCTTTGTGTATAACATTTCGATTTCTTTATTGTATAGCACTTAAAAGTGTAACGAAAACTTTGAATGGCTGATGAAATTATCTTTTGGCATGAAATTGATTCAACAGCGGAGATCCTATAAGTAAGGGAGAAGGTTTTGAAATTTTTCAAGAATTTCGTAGAAGATTGAAAGCTCTGCAAACGTTTTCAACGTCTATAATAATACACAAAACAGTAAGGAAATTATATATATTGAAATAATAGTTTTAAAAGATTCTTCCGATCTCGTCAAAAATTTCTATTCTCTCTTAAAATAACAATTATGTACCGGCACCATAATAACACACCTTCACGAAAACAAATAAATTGATTTTGTGTCATCGTTATTGATATACCTAAGTTATTCTGAGTTTTATAATTTTTATTAAAAGTAAGACTTTTAATTTTCTTATTAGTGTTTTTTCATATGCAAACATTTACATTCTAATGGTCGTCAACATTTAACACAAAGGATTTTAATTGATTTTTATTTCAAACGTAATAATTAGTGTTTGAACATTTAATGAAATATAAGATTGTGAAATATTTCAGTATTTTAAAAAAAATTGTTTTTCTTTTATGTATGTTTAATTTTTATGTATATTTTACATTTTTTAGGTAGTACAAATTAATAAAACCCATTAGTCATTAAATTAATTTTATTTTGTTTTATTTTTAATTTTTAAAGTTTATTATTAGTTAAATTTTGTTTATCAAGAAAGTTACTTGTTAAGATTTAAATACCCACAGTAAGATTTAAGACTATGAAATTTCAGTATATTAAGTTTGAAAAACAATAAGGGTTGATAAAAAATTAATGTAAATAATAGGTACTTAATATATATATACCTACCATATAGGTAGTAGGTACCTACTTTATTTTTCTATAAATAATTATTAAATTAAATATCTGGATATCTAGTCACCATATATGACCATGATTACTACGTGTAAAGTGACGTTAAAAAGGTTTTAAATTCACGGATAAATAATAATTTTGTACCTATATTTTACTACCTAGTAGTCAATTAAAAAATTACAACTAGCAATAAGAAAGTGAATATTCATGGATTTAAAACCGTTTTTAAGTTATCTTGTGATAAAATCATAAAATTAAAGTAAAATGTATACCTCATATTTGTATTAGTTGAATAAGTTGCATCAGATTTAACACCTGACTATTGTTATAGATAAGTATATATGAAACTCATTTATATTGGTATTTATATTTAGTGGGCCTTAATTATATCCATTTTTCCGGTAGGGAAAATGGATCCAGTACGCTCCTGAGCTTATAATCTATAAAAAACCGTTAAAATCGTTCCTATTCACCCCAAACTACGGTACATTATATTTGAGATACAATTTAATGTTTTTATAAATAAATTCTAAAAAGTATCAAATATACAAATAATAAAATTGTAAGTATTTATTTAATTAGATTTATATTATTATTCCATTATACCTATTGATAGGTAACTTATAGCCTATAGGATAAGTAAATTAATTAATTACTATCATTAATGTTATTATTTAATTGGGTAAATTGAAACGTTTCATGTTCTTTGTTTATCATCATTACATCATTATTCATTACTAATCCTTACATATTTTGTTCCAAAAAAATATTTTATTGATAGTCTATTGTCCATAAATTTTAAATATTTAAATATATATGTATATTTAAATAATAATTATAATTTTTTAAATATTAAAAAGTCCGCAAATTTAATCAATTGCCCCACCCTTTCAAAAGTTGAAATAACGCCCCTGCACTAACATAGTTTGATAAATTAACAAATATTATTAGTTTTTACACGACATGGTGTAGCCAGTGGCGCTGAACACGTACTTTTAAGGACAGTTCGCTCTTTTATTTAACTATGGTGGTGGGTGTCTGGTGTTTGGATGGGTGTGGGGTGGGTTCCGTGGATAAATTTACACTCTAGTTAGTAAATCTTAGGAATGTACAAATTAAGTGACAGTCGATCTATAGATGGTAGGATACTATGATGCAATAAAGCAATTTGTCAATCAATTCATGTCTTTATACCATATCAAGTATAAAGACGTACATTGACATTTACCTATATCTATTTCACACACATGATGAATCTAAACGCCTCTCGATTCTCAGTGTTTAAAAGTGATTATATAGCATGCAAATACATATTTTAAACATTTTAAGATAGTTACTTAAATTAGCAATAGCACTGTGAAACAATTTTGAAACCTCTTTTTTTTAATTACAGTTGTTTAAAAAATGAAATAAACTGTTTTTTTGTTTTACATTTCTTTAATTTTAATAACGTATTTAATACTTAAATAATTAAACCTATATTTATATACGCTTCAAATTTATATTAAGTATTTTTTTCTAAAACCATTATGAAGTACGTAAGCGATAAGTAAGGTAAATAGGTAATAGTTAGTACCTAAATTATAATTATCATTTTCAGTCTGTATGATTATTGATTTATGATAAAATATGAGACATTTTACTCGATCAGAATTTATATTATTATTATTATGTGCTGTTTTAAGTTTAACAATCGTATTCTAAAATAGACTAAATGGTGCGGGTCGTTGGTTATAACCTCTTACTCCCACTCCCCCTTTCCCGGATACGCCACTGCTGAATAGTACCTACCTAATAGATGAAATTGGAGTGATAAATCGCGAACGATGCGAGCTGAAGAGCTGAAGAGTATTTATACTAATTTAATCGTTTTACGTCATCTTGTGTAACAGTAAAACCATTATGAATGCACTTTAAATGCATCCATTTGTAGCCATTAAGTTGAGATGAATGGTAAAGAATTATTGGTTTTAATTCAATATTAAATGTACTTATAATATAATAATTGATTATGGTAATAAGTACATAAACTGTAGTACGTTAACACCGATAATTAAGACATGTGATTTACAGTATTAAAAAGCAAATAATCGGTCACGGTTCTAGAGCAAAATTTTCGTACGAGCTGCAGCCTACCCTGCCCGTTCACTAGAACTGCCACTGCAAATAATTACTATTAACATACCTTTGACAATAAATAATTCAAAATTTATACTGTATAACCACTAACTAATAACCATTAACTAAAGTACTCTTTAATCTTACTTACTAAAGTAATAAGTACTAAGTCATATGGTTTGCAACAATTTGAATCCATTTTAATAGTTTAAAAGCACCCACAAAACCCTTTTTTCACATTTTTCTAATTTATAAATTCTAATTGATAATAATGAGTTGTGATAATACATAATAACGACTTGTGTCAACGCGTACATTTGAATTGCGTTATGTGATAATTACGAGTTATAATTGATAATAATGAGTTGTGATAATCTATAATAATGAGATAAAAAAAACATACATTTGGCCTTTCAACGCTTCCGTAGGTATGCACTCACTGACATATAAAATCGGTATTTTATTTTTTTCTGTTCGGACAGTCCGGCCCGTTCTATCAAATATCAACCGATAAAATATTTTCTCAAATTGATACAACACCCTATGTACCCACATTATTATGGATGATTAATAGTGGCTACCACTTTCCCAAATTTATACAAGAAAAGGTTTTTATACTTAATTGTTGAAAATTGGATACAAATATTTTCTTAAGATTTTCTTTGTTTTTGTTATAAAATAAAATTTTGAAGAAATTGGATGATTTAACTAATTTCCAATTAAATTATTTTAGTTATTTAATTAAATTTAATGTTAATATTAATGTACCGTGTATTAAATCGTTTCATAACAAGCGGTCTGTAATATATTATATTTATAAAATATTATATTGATAGAATATATTATGTTTGAACATATCTTTGTTAACAATTATTTACAATTTATTCTTAAATATATAACAATACAATGTTTTTAGTATTATTTTATAATGCGATACTAACTGAATAGTGTTCTGAATTCTGATTTTTTGAGTCATATATCAACTTATATTATTTATTTGCCGAAGGAGCATTCATATTCTCAAATAATTTGACTAAACGTCTCACAGTACCATGTTTAAGATTTAGTTTTTCTTTTTCAATCAGGTATAATCTTCCGAGGTCCCCACCACCAAGTTCTTTTCTTATATCATATATTTCCAACACATTGTTAACATTGTTATCGAAACTGTTGACAGGTTTTTTCATGATAGCGTTGTAATGATTAACCACCGCTAGTACTTGAAATTTTATAACTTTTATGTCTTTATTGAATCGATTACTTTTCTTCGTATCTGCAATCAACTTTTTCTGTAAAATAAATTATTGTCACGTTACAGATGTCATATAACAACATTTCCTCCACGTTTATTGTAAAAAATGTTATGGAAAACATGATTTAATATGTACATTATATAGTATTGCAAGAGCATACCCAGGAATTTTTTATGGGGGGGAGGTCCAACATTTTTATTTTATCTATTCTGTAATTATAATTATAGTTTAACTCAATACCAAAAAATTACTGTTAATATATTATAATATAGTTTATACATTATATGTATATTATATAGGTTAGTATGTTAGTTGTTTCAATTTTTTGATGAATCGAATCTGAACTATATACGTCACCCGTATTTGGAATACTAAATGAATTATGGCTGTAGAATCCAGTTAAGTAAAATTATGAAGAAGTTTGAAGTTCTATCGTTGTTAGTCGTTAAGTAGTACTGTTGTTTTTTATCTCCTTTATCTTGATAACTCCTAGTTGAAAATCTAGTACCTAATGGTCATTGAATTTGTCTAGTATTGGAAATAAACAGCAAAAAAATAAAATATGCCTGTTAGTTGGTCCATCTTGAGATCGAAAACAATTCACACATTTCATTTATTTAGCATCTATAGGAAACGACTTCGAAGTTGATTGTCTTTTCTATTGAGCATTACTTGGGAGACGTGGTAGTTTTGATTATTTATCTATTTGTTTTTAAACATTTTGAATCAAGGAGTCACTTTTTTGTTTGAAACTTGCGTCTTCATCAACATGATCTCCTTTATTACACTCAGCAGTATTTACTGACTCTAAACTACTGATTGTCAAATTAGGCTTTGCAGATTTTTAAGAAAAAATTTATGGTATTTATGGTATACATAAGGTTTGACAGTTTTTAGCTCTACTACCAGACATCTTTTTGCCTTCTATTTTTTTTTCAGATTTCAACAAAGTATCCTTAATATATGTCCATTTTTTAATTATCTTCTTAGCTGAAATAGTGAAATAAGCTCATAAATATATGGTTTTCATTAAAATTTAAATTTCAAATACTTATTTAAAAAAAAATTGAACCAATCAATTTTTAATATATTTATGTCACAGTTGTGCAATTATTATGGTTATACACAATATTCAAAATTTATTATTTCAAAAAAAAATTGTTGTGGGGTTTTTATTAAATCAAATTAATTTACTAATCTTCGTATTTTTTAAAAATTTCGACAAATTATGGAATTCAAATATTTACAAAAAAAACTCTATTTAATCCGTTTAACTCTGTTTAATTTAATTTTTAGTAAAAACACCTTGTGAAGAACTTTGTTTGACAACGATACTTGATGATGGGTATTTCGATCAAAAATCTGCATTTTACATTTGAAATTGGTACTTTGATAATCAGTAGAATTATAAATTATATATGCTTTGTGATTTTTTATATGACTATTTTCCACCATTAACTACTAGAACAAAAAAGAAAGAAATTTTAAAGGGTCTATTTCCCGTATTGCATAAGTGCTATCCACGGAAAGTGTAAACGAATAAATAAACAAGAACACAATGGATCTTTATATTTTAATTATAAAGATTACTAATGTATTGTGCTTCTAGCAGTAATAGATTCAAATTAAAAATTTGTCTATGTAAAAATAGATTTATATGGGAAAAGCTGTAATTCTTTTGAAATTTTAAAAAACTCCAATTTTTGGTAGAAACTAAATGACATTTTTTTGCCAATACTTCACCTCCTGTCACTTATCGAATCCGGAGAAAGTTTATCATTTGTACTGATAGGAAATGAAGCATTTACTCTTCACAATAGTCTATTACTCCTCTTTGGAAGAGCCTATTTAAATGAACTATAAAATACGTTCAACCATCTCTTAAGCCGAACAAGAAGATACGTCGAATGCGTATTTAGAATCATGGCAGCATAAATGGAGTATTCCAACTGACCTTTCGATTACCTCAACTGTCAAAATTGTTAAGACTTGCATTGTACTTCACTATTATGTCCTTGAACGTGATGGTCTTCGTTTTGACAATTCCAATGAAGTAACCTCACCAATGGATAGCTTGCGAAACGAATGAAGTCTACGGAGAAATATTTAAACCATTAATATCCCTTCAATATTTTCTGATTATTTTGTATTTTGTGTCACCTAAAGAATGTGTACAATGAAAAAATGAATAAATTAAATTGTATGTCATTTGTCATGTTTAATATTTGTATCAAATAATAATAATTATAATTAATTTAATAATATAATATAATATTTGAATTTACAATAATAATTCTAAACTACTTAATTATAATAAAAATTAATACTCACCGTATTCTTGTCTTTTTTTCCCCAAGTTTCGATATCTAGATAAATATTTATTAAAATGTCTTTTCACGAGTTTTGTTAATGATATTTATTTTAATAAATTTCCAATGAATTATCTTACTAATTAGGTCGTTCTTCAGTTCATTAAATAAATCATTCGGTTGATACCATAAAATCATCTTCCATCTTGAAACGATTAAATCTATAAGCAACAAACACGTCGAACGGCTAATAACGACTACAAAAACATCAAAAACAAATTTGAGAATCGGAAAAATGTTGTTCGTGTGAACAAAACGATATAAAGATCATCGCTGTTTTTCAATGAAATATAATCGAGATTTATTGAATTACAGTTATAGATTCGTACGGTATACGACAAAAAAATTTTACTAGTACGGAATTTTCTCGCATGGGCTTCGTGTAAACGTACAAATATAATACTCTCTGCCACTGCTCTATTCGATAAAATCTCGTATACAGGAAAAATATCACCGTCTGAACATAGCCTCAGGCTATATTTCGCTGTATTAATATCCATGCAACTTGAGACTTGACCTCATATCATATTTCAATACGACGAAATATTATTATTTTATATGTGTTTAATCTGTTTTCGATGTTTATGAATGTAAACTAAATCTATGTCACACCACAACAAATAGGATAAAAAAATAGTCAATGTATTAAGTATTATCAAGTACTATATTAAAATGTACTTCATACTTTCATAGTTATAAATATATCATAGTTAGTCCAGAAATTCTTGAAACAATGCGCTTTGACAAATTACAGTTATTAGTTTGGCAAATTCCGAAAAATAAACAGAATGCGGTAAACACTATATTGTAAGTGTTGCATAATGTTAATACAAGTAGTATTATTGTATTCTTTATTTGAAAATAATAATTTCCTTACCTGAAATCGTTAGTAAAATAAAAATTTCAGTTTGTTGCATAAATGTTTACTTGAAAGTGTTCTATTTTAAGTAAGAATATTTTCTAAATATATTTAACACAATGTGCTGCGGTGATGAGTACGATACGAAAAACCCTGTGTTACGGAAACGTTTGAAGTCTTATTACAAAAAATTATATGCTATTTATCAAAAAAAAAAAAAAAAAAACTGGGATAATGAATAATATACCAGCGTTATAAATTACCAAGGTAATTATTTCAATAATTTAATATATTTAATTTTAGTTGAAACTTTTAATGTTAATAAAAAATAATATTATCGGATTCAATTTTGATTTATAGATGTAAATAATATTTTATAATAATATATTATATTACATTATCGTATTGAGTTTTCAAGCCTTTAAAATTTAAGTTGTTAATGTTCAAAATATTTTAATTTCACTTTAACACTCAATTGAAAATGTTTTACGATTACTTAATTCTCTACTTTATAAATAAATTGTTAGTACAAAAAAAAAAAAATCGACAAAATTCATTAGATTCAATACATTAATTTCAATAACATTTTTCGAATAAGTAACCCAAAATTTATAAATTAAAAAACATTCGTTCATAAACATTATGGGTTACTTTATTCCTATTTCCTATTATATTCTATTTTATTCACAATAATAATACTGTAAGAAATATTTGTTTTTATTTAAATAATATTTATTAAATATTTTAATTTATTATGAAAAATAAATAAATGGACATTAGTATTATTATTTTGTATATATAGTATTTTAAGTCATCACTAATACTACTTATTAATAACTGTTGTATATAATAGATTTATTAATTATTATTAATTATTATAAATTAATAATTGTATTATTAGAAAGTATGAAGCCGAGTATCATTATCAATATTATGTATTGCTGAAAAATGTTTATAAATATAGTAATAGCAGTAGGTGCTATGTTTTTTTTGACATTAAAAAACTGACAGTTACAATTAAGTGTAATTGGATATTATTTTACCAAAAATAAATTATTATTTCTATCACTATTATATACTACCATGAAAAATAAATACCACCAAAAAGTTGACAGGAAAATATTAAAAAACATGTTCAAAAAAAATCGAAAATGTATATTATAAATTACACAGTATTTTATTTTTTTTTTTTTTTAAATCAAGTGAATTTTATACAAATACAATATTATAAAACAAATAAGGAGGAAAGTCAGTGTCCGAACATTTATTTTCAAGGCTAGCTGAAACAAATAACACTAATTACATGGTTTTCGATTTACCATTTTGTTTATTTATTTATTTATTTATTTTTGAGTAATGATTGACCTCGTTTTAATAACTGTTAAAAACTAAACTTCCAATGCTTAATAATATTGTATTGTAAATTTCTCGTGCATTATACTCGACCATGATGTAGGATGTTCTAGACGTATTAACACGCCTCCAGATATATAAAATTATTTGTGTTTTTTTTAAAAAGATAACAGTAATATTATAAAATTGTGATTCCTTTTATTTAAAAATATGCACAATATAACTGTATACATTGTTATAATAACGTGATGATAATTTTATTAAAACATTTTTTTTTTTCGAGAAAAACGTGTCTCGTACATATAACTTAATACATTAAATTCACGGTTCATTTAAAGATATATGAAATATTATATTAATATATACATAAATATGCGTTTATTTTTTTAAAGTTATTATTGATTACAATAAAGTATAATATGATTTAGCATACATTATTAAATTTTAAATTCCGAATGAAATTATTAATATTTTGAATTAAATATTTTGAAGCCAATCATTTTCTAAAAACGTTTATCCATAAAAATCGAATATCGATCAAAAAGTGAATTAGCCATTAGCACTAAAATTCTATGTCTGAAACTTAAAGTTTTTAGATGAATGGAGTGATAAATAGATATTACCACACAAAACATTGCTGCACTATTCCATTAATCTATACCTTCAATTTTTTTAACCCATTGATTTTGTATTTTATGAACTGCTGAGTATTATTTAATTATTTATTATACAATTGAAAAAAAATCTAGTCATGATCATCAATGATTGACATCAATTTATTTTAATAGTAAATATAGTAAGCGATGAGAACAATTGATAGCTTTTACAGTTGTTTTATTTTTATATATAAATAAATAACGATTTTCCCTATGTTTAATTATATATACATTTTTTATTATAACAACCAAGGCCGTATCAAGAAATTTTTTTCGGGAGGGGTCCAAAACATGTTTATTATAATTTTATTGAATTTAGATATTAACTTTTAATATTTGGTTAAAAATATGACAGAAAAAGATTTATTCTTCTTTTATTAAAATTAATATCATATTTTCATATATTATGATATAAAATTAAAAGTAGTCAATGATTAATTGGAGCTTAAGTCATTTTTGACTGAAAATATTTATGTTGGCATTAAGAATAAATAAGTATTTTAAACATTCATAAAATATTGAAGAATTTTTTTTTGGGGGGGGGGATCCAGACACTCTGGACCGTTAACTGAAGTATTAATAATTTAAATTGTTTTTTTAATTCATAAATATTTACACTTAAACATTTTAATGGTGTTCATAATTATTAATTACATATTCTAAAATTTCATAGATATTTTGTTTATTATTGTTTAAATTATTTTCTCAAAACACATTGTGTTAATGGAATTGATATGTCTTTGGGTTTATTATGGAACATTAAGAATTATTGTTAACATTATTAGTTCCATCTGGATTGAATATTTCTTCATTCGAAGATAAGTGAGGAAAATATTACTTACGCAATAATTTATTTTAATTTGTTGAAAAACACTTAAGTAGTCAAAAAGTTACTTTTTGTGTACCTACCACATAAAGCTATTTACAATTGAAAATAAGACATAGATGGCTATAATACACATGTATACTAATATAATAAAAAAACTATTTCAAGAATTTTCAATAACTCCTGAGTAAAATTACAAAGTACTTACCGTGTAAAAATGTATAAATAATAAATAATATTGTCTTGCATCGAGGTGAGCAAACTGAAAAAAACTAATACCAAAATCTATAACGATTTTTGTTTTATTTAGATTAAATTTATACTTCATAACTTAAACTACAAATATTAAATGCACTTTCCAAATGTTACACAATGAATTACTGTTAATATATACATTTAATATAAGTGTGTTAACATTTTATTAATTTTAATTATATTCGTTGACTTATCAATTTAGACTTATACTAATAATTGATCAACACAGGTCTTTTGCTTTTATTGAAAGTATATTTTTCCACAACAAGTATAAATCTTTTTCTTGATAGTTTTCTAAACGAAATGCAGAAGACAAAGTAACTATAAATTTATTATTATAAAATTGTTAATAAACAAAATTGGAAATTCTTGGTTTTCCAACGTAATAAACCTATTATAGTAGCTTAGTAGAGTATATTTGTTTGTAATTAACATTTTATATTATTATTATTATTATTATACAAAATTATATTATTTAAAATTATCACCTAAAGTTTTTGTTTTATGAGATTATTTATTTCATACATGTACTTCTCGTTCTTTGTGAAAAGTTAATCGTGGATTTCCATTTACTTAAATTTATGCTTGAAATGTATTTCCTTAAATATAGCACTTATAGAAGCTTTATATTATGTGTATACAATTATAAACCTGTACATAAAAAACGAATTTACTCTCTCCACTATGTTGAAAATTTCCATTTTTCGTGTATATAATCTTTTTTCTTTTTATATTTTATTCATATTGCCAGTATATGCAATTTAATCAGTCTGGAATTAATATACTTATTAGAAAAAGTCATAAACTATAAACAAAATGCCTAATCCGTGTTTATATAATAATATGTGATGATTATTAAATTAAAAAATAATTACCACATTTGCAAACAGAGGTAGTCCGGCCAGGTGAGTTGGAAAGATTTATCTCCCTGGGCTAGTGACAGTTATATGTTTTGTTTAAGTATTAGAATAATAATATGAATCATATTATGTTATATAAATGTTTCTAACTGGTACATATTATACTAAAAATAAGTACTGACGA